AGCAAGCTTCTAGGAGTTGGAACATCCGGTTTGACTCTACTGTCAAAAAGTTTGACTTTGAGCATAATCCGAATGAACCCTATGTTTACAGGAAATCCAATGGAGATTAGGTTATGTTCTTGGTTCTGTATGTAGACGACATTCTACTCATTGGGAATGATGTAGGAATGTTAACTACGGTGAAAGTGTGGCTTTCGCAACAGTTCTCCATGAAAGATCTTGGAGAAGCCTCCTATATACTAGGTATTCGACTCTATAGAGATAGATCGAAGAGGATAATAAGATTATCCCAATCTGCTTATATTGACAAAATAGTCAAGAGATACAGCATGGAGAACTCCAAGAAAGGAAATGTTCCTTTCAGGCACGGAGTCACTCTCTCCAAGGGCATGTCTCCCAAGACTCCCAAGGAGATTGAGGGCATGAAGGACATTCCCTATGCCTCATCTATAGGGAGCATCATGTATGTCATGCTGTGCACTCGTCCTGACATTGCTTAGGTAGTGAGTGTGGTAAGTAGATTCTAGGCCAACCCAGGGTAGAAGACTGGACTGCTGTGAAAAACATACTTAAGTACCTTCAAAGGACAAAAGAGTTTTGTCTGGTATTCGATGGTAGCTCACTACAAATCCAGGGGTATACTGATGCCAACTTCCAGTCAGATCCAGATGGTAGAATGTCTACATCTGGTTATATCTTCATGATAGGATCGTGTGTTGTTTGCTGAAAGTCAACAAATAGGGGTCTTAAGTAGTAAGAATAACAGTCCACAACCTAAGTTGAACACATTGTCGTAAATGAGGCTGCCTAATGAATGAAGGTGTTCATTATGGAATTTGGAATTCCACACATCACTCATTCCATTGTTGTGTGACAACACTGAATCTACGGGAGATTAATGTTAAAAGGTAGCATCAGTAGAGAATGTAGCAAACCCATTGACTAAGCCACTAACACAGAAAGTGTTTGAGAAACACGTGGAAAGTCTGGGACTTCGGCTTGTACCCGATTGGACCTAAGTGCAAGTGGGAGCTATTAGACAGTTTATGCCCTTAGCTCCAATCAGAATGATGTACATTATGACATTTATTAAAGTACATATTTGATTCATTTTATGGTCTGTTTCTGTGTAATACCCTTAAACTGGACACATATGAGACTCATGTTAGTTTAGAATCTTCATAGTCATTGGATAGATCTAAGGAGATTTATCCTGCCAAGGCCGACACTAATGTGCCGCTAACTTGGTTGGGGTGGCTTGTCTCAGCTGTCAGGGTGAGACCTGAGGTACATGCAGTGTGAGCTTTCTTGAAACCCTGAACCGGACCAGAATTCTAGTATTGCCCTGGACCTTGGAGACTAGTGGGCAAAACTAGAATGTTACACCTAACCCTAGACTCGATTATGATACTGCACTAGGTGTCGGATTGGGCTGTCTTTGATACGCCAATCAGTGAGATCCTTAGAGGGGGTCAAAACCTGGGTATGTTGGGACAATCCGAGAATTCATCTGAGTGGGTGATCATAGTGACAGGATCAGCCCCTTTGTCGGACAAAGGTAATGATCGGGGATGCACTCTCTCTAATGGAAACCAAAGCTGCCAGCAACCGATTTTAATCATTGAAATTTGTTTTTGCAAAATATATTTATATAAAGATATGCATATATATTATGGTTTCAAAATGTTTGCAAAAGGTTTTAATTCCCGGGATCCATGTGAGTAGAAAGTGCAGCACTGTTCCTTGCAGTCGAGGAAGAGATCATCTCTTGTCGGGCAGTATTTGATCATTATGGGCTGAGAGGTTAAGTGTAAGACCATTGAGGATAATACCTAATGGGCTAATCTTGCAACTGCCCATAGTCCCTATGTTTTTATAAGGTGGCTTGGCCTAGGGACCACTTAGTGTAAGTGTCAGGTCCATTAAGAGCCCATGGTGATGGGCTCAGGGGTTCATTGTCCATAACAGTGAATTCGGCCAGGCCTTGTAACAGATGCTAGGCTGAACCCATGTGGCTGATGTGTAGATCAATGTTTGGGTCCCACACCATACAAGAAAATCCAATTGAGCAGTAGTTTGAAAGGTTAGTGAGCACATGGACTTAATGGGCCTAAAGCCCAAATCAAACTAGTCTAATTTGATTAGTTAAAGAAGGGGGCGGATCTGGGATTTGGATCAGCAGATAGGATAGGGAGTTATCCCTATCCACTCAGAGAGTCCAGATCCAAATACAGATTTGGATTTGGAAACTCCTAATAAGATTAAGAGGGCTGATCTAATCTATAGATAAGATAAGGGTTTATCCTTATCTCTTAAAGAGAAGTCCTAATCCAAATACAGATTTGGATTAGGAAACTCCTAATGAGATTAGGAGCTCTTTTTTAGGCTATAAAAGGAGGAGGAGGGCGAACCTCCAATCATCTCAATACAACAGATCTCATATCACAGAAAGAGAGAAGACAGCTACAATAAGACTGCGCCATTTTCTGCTCTTGCGTCCTCCTCCTGCTGTTGCCATTGCCAGTTCGTTCTCCACTGTAGGAGCGATCAAGAAGGGTTCTTGATATCAGTTTTTGGAGAAAAACTTATTTAAAATCATGCTCACATACCCTCCATCGAAATCTTGTTGAAGGATTCGGTTCTTGTGAAGAACCTGCTGATTCTGCTCCACCCTACACTGTGTCATATTTAGTGGGAGTAGTTTTTGGAGTTTTCCTTGGGTGTGAACACCTTCATTGGGAGATATTGTTTCTTTGTATCAGGTACCTCCTTCTCCTACCTTTTGGTTTCAGATCTGGTCCGGTTTAGGTTCAAGATTGATCCTTGAAAATGTAGATTTTCTAAAACAGGGAATGCGATTCTTAGATGGGAGAGATAGAAATTTTTGAAATTTCGCCCTACCTTCCTACAGGGTTTGACCATCCATATGATGGATTTCTCATCCCTTAAGGAGCTCCATTCTTCTTCTTCTTCTTCTTCTTCTTCATGTACAACCTGCACAAAAACAGGGGCTCCACCTGTAAATGCCACCACCTCCTGGCTTTGGTAGCTAGCCAAAGCCCATGTTTGCTCCAACGACGTCGGCGTTCACCAACTATGGCAAAAGTGAGATAGGTTTGGTTGTCCAATAGGTATTGCAAAAGCAAGAGGAGTGTCAGATAATGGAGAATGGAAGAAAAAGAACATGAGAATGAGAGAGAGAGAGAGAGATAGAGACTGTTGACTGCCAGATCCATTGCCTGCAGTTCTATTCTACTGGGCTGCTGGAGACGGAAACCGCAGGTTCTATTCTACTGCATTCAGAATCAGAAACCACGGTACTGGATTCAGAATTGAAAACTAGTTGTCGTGGCCGCCATCACTTGCGACAACGATACCAAAATCACCGTCACCCGCTATAACTTCTGTAATGGGTTGCTGTTCCACACCACCCTTTATTCTTCTTTTCGATTCACCATAGAGTGGAGCTTCTGGGTTTGAAAGGTTAGGGTTTTGATGAACCAACATCTCTTTCCCTTTTCTCTGTTTTATTTTGAAAATTTGAAGAAGAAGTCGCGAACGAAAGTGGTCGGATACAAATGACGACAATGGTGGCAATGTCGGCGGAGAAACAGGAAGTGGAACAGTTGTAGAGTGGTTCATTGTAGTTGTCGCTAGGGAGAGGGATGGTGAAGAAGAAGGGAGAAGGACGAAAGGCAAAATTGGGTTTTGAAAAAACATTATACATCATGTGGTGTCATGTGTGTATGAATTTCAACGGAACATTAATGGATATTAACGACAGGGGTAGAGCTAGTCAACTATCAGAAAACTTTAGGGTACCGCAAGACAATAGCTAAACAGTAAGGGTACCGCGTGTCGATTCGCTAAATAGTAGGGGTAGTTTAAGAGATTTACCCTATTTTAAAAATAAGGGCTTATTTTTTAAGCCCAAATTTTCAACTTTTTTAAGTGCTTATACAATAAGCATTTATTCAAAATTTTCTTCCAAAATTATCCCTTGTTAAATTTTAAAATACCACTTATAAAGTTATCCCTAGTTGATGAATTTTATAAAAGTACTCTTATGAAAGCACTTTTACGAAAGCACTTTTATAATAGTACTTTTATGAAAGCACTTCTACAAAAGTATTTTTATAAAAGTACTTTTATGAAAACACTTATAAAAGTACTTTATGAAAGTACTTTTACAAAAGCACTTTTATAAAAGTACTTTTATGAAAGCACCTTTAAGAAAGTACTTTTATGAAAGCATTTTTACTAAAACAATTTTATGAAAGTAATTTTGTGAGCACTTTTACGAAAGTAATTTTATGAAAGCACTTTATAAAAGTACTTTTATAAAAGTACTTTCATAAAAGTGCTTTTATAGAAGTGCTTTCATAAAAGTACTTTAATAAAAATGTTTTTATAAAGTACTTTCATAAAAGTGATTTCATAAAAGTGCTTTCAAATGGTATAATTTGAAAATTTGAAAGAAAATGAAGGACAAAATAGTCATGGATACTTATTTAAGTGCTTATTTGAAAAAAAGACTACCAAATGCCTAATATAAAATAAGTGTTTATTTTAAAAAGTATACACAAAAAAATTTGATGTCAAATGTAAATAAGTGCTTATTCGAATACACATTTTTAAGCACTTATGCACTTTTTTTAACTTACACTCTCAAACATAACCTTAGAATCACTGTTTTCAAAGCCGGACCAGACCGGACGGTCGGACCGGAAAAGCTGGGAACCGGTCACCTGAGGGTCGAATATCGGATTTCCGGACACCACTGATAGCCCTAAGTCAGACTTTGGCTGCGTACATTGCATGATTGTATTTGAAGATAATGGCCGGCTTTGCATTTTGGGTTGGGTAATGTTCGACTTCAACGCCCACACACACATAAGCGGGCAATGGAGCTGCTAATCGGGTAAACGGTAAACCCGGTACGCTGCATGGTTCGAGTGATGACCTGGGCAAGCGTTAGAATACATGTTGACGTAGATTCAACTTTCCACTTCCAGTCATCTCTCTGGCTTTCTCTCTGTCATACATACGCTGTGTGCGCTGTCTTCCGTCTGTCTCCGTTTTTGCCGGCCGTACAACGAAGGAGAGGGGGTCCGCTCTCCTCTGCTCTAACGCCGCAACGCCACACACAAATTCAGCCCGCACAGGAGCAACGAAGCTCTAGAAATAATGGCGGGTTTCTAGCCATGGAATCTGAAAGTTAGCGAGAGAGTGAGATATTATCATGGGGAAGCGGAAGAGAAGACCTGGACACAGGAAATCTCTTGTTTCTTCTGGTATGATTTCTTCTTTCTTCAATTGGGTCTCTCTTGATTCTTCTTTCACTTCTTCTTCCTCTTCTTCTTCTTCTTCTTCTTCTTCTTCTTCTCTGGCTGGATCACCGTTTTGAACTTGGGTTTGTTCTTTTCTTTTGCATTTGGATTATAATTGTGGGATCTGTTTTGTTGTTTTTTCAGTGATGTTGTGCTTTTTGAGTTTCTTTCCTCTTCTTGGTTATTTATTTTTTTTCCTATAATATTCTTTTTTTTTTCATTGCCTATTTTACAAATCCAAGTTTCAAATTACCTATAGATTTACTATTTTCTTTTTTATTTTTACATTTTCTTTACGGATCAGTAACCAATTAGCTAAGGATATAATTTTGTAGCAACAAAAAAATATTTGAATTAGCAGTTGTATTTTAAAGGGCGTAATGTGGGTATTAGTGGGGGCTTTTAAGGCACAAATTCTCCTGCTTGTTGGGCAGATATCTTGATTTCTCAAGTGGGAAATAGGAACAGAAGGTTAGCCCAGACGAGCACGGGGAAGTACAACATGATACCCCATCAATGTAGGTGAGGCCAATGAAATTTCAAGGAATATTGGAACTGTAAAGTGATGTTTTAGGGTATTTTAATTCGAAACAATTTTGAATTATTTAGTCTAGAGTCTAAAGAATAGGATAATTGGGCAGATTTATATACCGGAAACTGGGAAGTGGCAATAACCAAAGATGTTTTAAGGCATGACTTAGAATATAAATTCATCAGGAAGACAAATTCTTAAAAATGAAACCTGACAGGGTTGTTTCCGGCTAAAACAGAAAAAGTTGACAGTGCTGTGCTAGAGGCCAACAAACCTCAGGAATGAAGAACTTAAGCAAGGTTTTACTTCCTAGTGGAGAAAAATCTCCTATTTCCACAGGGTGAGCTTCTTCTTAAATCTCACCATGACCACCTAACATGATCTCCTTCAGTTAGTTTTAATGCCTAAAGCGAGAGCAAGCCATGCATATAATGCTGGAAGGGACACCAAAGGACAAGTACTTTGTCAAGAAAATCATCTTCCTTGATACGACAAGCTTAGTTTGAAGCCAGAGGACCTGATGTACCTACTTTGATATTCTAAAGTTCCTTGATGCGACAAGCTTAGTTTTTTTAGAATTCATTATTTTCTTTGAGACTAGTTTAAAGCCAGAGGACCTGATGTACCTACTTTGATATTCTAAAGCCCTCTTAATACCATGTCACTGGTTCCCTGAATGTGGAATTAAATTAATGACAGCCATTCAACTCCTGATGGGAAAACTTTGGTTAAATTTAATAACGGCCTTTGCAATACTTTACCATAGGTATCCTGAATTAATGACAACCTTTCCACTCCTGAAGTGTTAATACTGTTTAACAACCTTAGGTTGATGCATGGATAATGCACTAGGTTACGTGTGCTGCTTGAATTGTTGGGTTTGGAGTTTATCCCTAACAAAAACTATTGCTACATTTAATGACTGCTGCAGTACCTTACCATGGGTTTCTTCTGCATAAAGTACACTAAAGATCATTTTCTTGTAAGGTGTTCTTTTTCTTGGGATTAGCCTGAATGGATACACATTTATGCCATCAGAGTTGGTATCTTACATCATTTACTTTCACTTGATTCTCAATAAATCTGCAACTTGTCATTGTATGACTAGCTTACATCCATTGCTTTCACTTGATTCAAATACCTAGCATTCTGTATTCAGACATTTTTAAAAACAATTGCTCTCTCATGGAACTTTGCAAAACCTTCTACAAGCCCTCCTTTGTGTTATCTGATGACCTCTATAGCACGCTATAGTGAGAACATTTGGACATAAATCTGTACTCCTTCTGAAATCCTCAATGGCTTCTCAGAAAATGCCCTTTCAAGTCAAAATTCTTCTTGTTTGGTAATAGCTTTAAAATAAAATGCCTGTCTTCTTCAATTGGTACTGTCCGCTATTCGTGGAATCTGTTTATCTTCTTATTTCATTCTGGTTTTTGTACAGTTTCATCCTCCTGGATCTCTTCATTCTGGTTCCTGTTTGTGGCCCAAAATTGAAAACAGAGAAAAATAATTTGCTCATATTCCCTTTTCTGGCCATTGAACCGTAGAGTTATGATAGAGATGGTTTTCATTTGCCTGTGCATTAAGGGAGCCTTTCGGAGAAGTTAATGTGTTTCTGTTATTATCCTCATAAGAAATGGGGTGAAAATTATGAACCTCATTTCTGACTTCAGTAAGCTCTTTGTTGTGTGGTTCTGATTGCTTTGTTCCTTGTGAACTACTCTACTTCCATGTTTAAGCTGATATTTACTAATTTCTTTGATCTGTTCTTTTGCCTTTCTGGAAAGCTGTTTTATTTCAGTAAGTTATTTTAGGAACCATTCCTGCATAACTGAATTGTTAATAGATGATCATTACACCGTCTCTACTGCACTTTCCTAATGCAGCTGAAAGGAGAAAGTGGATATTAGATGATCATCTTTTGAATTCCTTTTCATTTTGTTTTGGTCACGATAGATGGAAATGGGAAGAGATGAGATAAGTTAGCAAGGGAGCAGCTGAAAGGAGAAAGTGGATATTAGAGTTGAACAATTGGACGAGAGATTGTCAGATCCTATGGTTTGGGGGCATTATGGTTTTAAAACTGGTTCTTACAGATCCTATCGTTACGTATCGGCCCGTATCGGCCAATACGTATCGGCCCGTATCGGCCAATACGTATCGTATCGGGTCCTTCCCGGTACACCCTACAGGGGTTGTATTGGGCCGGGGCCTGGTTCAGAGGGTAGCCAGGACTTAAACCGGCCTCTCTGAACCAAATTCGAAAAAAATAAGTAAATGTAAAAAAAAGGACCGAGCCAGTATCGATACTTTGAACCTTGCTTACAATAGTTAATCCCTTTTTATAGGTCATAAGGGTGAAAATTTTATAATACCAGCATTTTCTTTTTAAATTTCCTAAACATTTTTCTAGAGCTAATAAGACCTAGGCACCTAGCATACCTGGATACCATCATACCACTATACCAGTACATGCCTAGCATACTGATGTCAGACACAATACATACCCAATACAATACTGGATACAGCATAAACATATAAAGCATATTTTATGGCATTAACAATTTCAAGTTATATGTAAAATGTGGTATGTTTTAACAAATCATACATTAAAATCTGTATATATTAGAACTTTAATTAAATTTGGCAAGATATAAATATTGACAAATGACACGTAAGAGTCAAAAACTAGATACAAACGCATGACATCTAATAAGCCCTCAGACAAGAGGTTTTCTCCTTCAGACACGTGGCTAGTAACCTACTCAGCAAAAGGGTAAATAAATTTTAACTCAGATTAAATCTAATTTAATTTCCTAAAACCCTCCATAAAGACTTTCAATATTTTAATTGGTACGTCTCTCATTCTTTTATATAAAGTGGGTTGTTGATCACTTGATTGCAAAACAACCTGATTTGATTTCTTAAATCAAATTAAAAACTAACCTAAATTTACCACATAGATAGTGGATTTCAACTTAAATACATAGATATAGTTGCCCAGTACTCAGTATAGGGTGGTAATTAACTAGTAAGCCTATTAAATGGAATACCTGTACCCATATCTCTGTCCAGGATCTTAGGAATATAGAGTGGTAGTCTTGTTTCTCATATCTATGTCTGTGTTGGTATCTGTATCTGGGCATCATGGGATAAGACTATCCAGAAGAAATAGAGGCTTCTCTTTTGTAATTTTTTATTTTGTCTGTGTGCTTGTGCATATCTGTAGGTAGGGCTGCAAGTCGGGCTGGGTTAGGTTGGGTTGAGGCCAACCCTAGCCCAACCCTATGTTCTAAACCCTAACCCGACCTACCCAACCCTAACTAATTCCTTCAACCCTAACCCAACCCGACCCAACCCAATGCCAACTTCAGGTTGGGCCCAACCCAACCTTCCCATCCCTTAAAATCTAGTAGAAAAATAAGTATTTGTTTATCATGAGTTATGACTTACGATAGAACTTTTCTCAAAAATATAAATTCATGAAATCAACAATAATGAAACATAAAATTATGGAAATAAAATCACTAATAACAACTCATAGGATCAAGCAATAATTTGAATATATTTGATAGGTCGCACATAAAAATTACAAGACAAAAGGAAAAGATAAGTAGTCAAGTACCTGGGAATAACTTAAAGAAAGGCATGATAGTATGTAGGGGGCTATACGACTATCATGCATCTAAACAAATCAGTGTATGTTATATATATATGACATATAGTAGAGTTGTAGACTAGTAGACTAGTAGTCTAGTAGTCTAGTACTATAGGGGGTTGGGTTCGGGTTGGGTTGGGTTGCCCGAGGGGTTAACCCTAACCCAACCCGAACTAAGGTCGGGTTCAAGAATTTCAACCATAACCTTAACCCGATCATCAACCTGGCCCAACCCAACCTGACTTTTTCGGGTTGGATCGGTTAGGTTCGGGCCAACCCGGCCCAAGTTGCAGCCCTATCTGTAGGTGGGTACATGGTGCATTGAATGGGCTTGAATGGGAGAGGGGGAATAGAGAGGGGAAAAAATAGATGGGACCTAGGCTGGTAAAACAGGCGTTCCAACAGCCTAGTGCATGCTGTGGAATATATGAACTCACAAAATGAAACTTCGATGTTGTTGGTTAATCAACAACATCAAGAAACTTTTATTTTTTTCCCAAAATTGCCATAACAGTCCCAGAATCATATAATGATTCATATGCAGGGACTCTATAAAATGAGGATTGGGAAATTTCACTCCCAAGAAATAGGTCCTCTTGTTCTGCACCATCTAGGAACCCTAGACAACTAATTTGAGTCTCTGACTCTTGACCTTCATATATTGTTGGACTTCTTTCTGTGTTATCATTGGTTATTGAGCCTGGAAACTATCATTAGTTTTATTGCAAGATGTGTAGGATAAGTAGAAAACTAAATCTATATTAGGTTTCAAATTGCTTTTATTGGGTTTAGATTATTCTCTTAGATTGGGTCCATTACTATAGAATCTTTGATGCATAGCATGATTGTTAGCAGACAGGCTTTTAATGTGAGGAGAATATCCTTTACACTAAAATCAGACACAGGTTAGTATGGACTTCAATTAGAGGCATAGGGAGTGCAAAATGTCTAGATCCTTGTGTTTCTGCATAATATAGAATGTACATTCTGGTGTAGTATACTGTATATTTCTGATAATATATATTTTTGAAGTTTCTGATAAAAAAAAGTATGTAATTAGTTCTGCTATGGTTTTCTCAATTGAATGTCTCTATGTTATCTCATTTGGTAAAGCTAATAAGAGTTGCGGGGTTGGGATGGATGACTGCAAAAAATCAACTCTGAGTTTGTGAGCCATGTGGAAAATTTAACATCTTACTTGAAAGGTCTTATGCAGTTAATCGTATTCTAAATGCACCTTATATCAATCAATCAGAATAATCAAATAGTTTTTTGTCTGAAACTTGCAGACATCATGCCCTGCTCCCTTGGGATGGATTCGTTGTCAGAAGAGGTTCCTTTCTTTGTTTTATCTGTTAATTATTACTTCCGATTGTCATTCTTCTTTGTCTCACTCTTCACTGGTTATGTATTGAGCTTGTATAGTGTTTCTTCTCCCCCTAAATAATCTGTTTCTCTCTGCAGAAGTCTTCTTCCACTGCTCCTTCAGTTGATTCTGGTTCCTCAAATTCTCTCAAATCGATTATGGATACCATAGATAGTTCTATGAAGAAGATAAATACTCACCCATCACTTGCACAATACCGTTATAATCTCAGTCGCTCAATGCTTCTGAGACGTTCACTAAATAACTATGGTCATCACTACTCCCGGCGGAGCACGGGTAGCCATGCTGATAGAATTAGCTCACTTTGCAAGAGTGCTTCTGCCATAGATGAGAGATACTCTATGAAGTTAGGTAGCAGATGCAACTCAGAGTCTGGATATCATTCAGGTAAGCCAAGATTAAAGATTACTGTGGTCCTTTTTTTGGAATATAGTATAGTTAAGAACCATCCTCTTACAATTTTCTCATGTTGTTTTCCCTTTTCTTTTTCTTTATCTTTTTCTTTTTGCTAGAGAGAAAGGTTTTCCAGAGGCCTGAAAGAATAAGGTCAAATCCATTGGTAATTGATACAACAGCCACTGATGTAGTTAGGATGGTATGTGGGTTATGTATGAAGCTGCTGAGACATAAATCCTTTGGCTTGGGAAGCACCTTGTCATCTAGTGGCCTCTCTGTTGTGGCAGTTTTAGTTTGTGGTCATGTTTATCATGCACACTGCTTGGAGCAGAGAACATCTGAGGAAGATAAACGAGATCCCCCCTGTCCATTATGCATTGACTTGTCTAATGCCTCAAGAGGCAAGAACTGATGGGAGTCAACTTTTTATTATGAAAACTAGTTATTAAGGCCATATTGAAACGGACAGTGTAGGTGCTTCATATTTCATGCAGAAGGGTTTTTGCAGGGTAGTATATTGGCAGCACATTATTTCCAATATTTGACTGTTATGGTGCTATCTATTGTGATTCCATTTTTTGTTACTTCGAGCAAATATTTCAAGATATTAAAGGTACAACAGTGATACAGAGAAAATCAACAATTTCAATTGATGGTTTCTTGTTCAGTAAATTTCTTTTGGCGCTTTTACCAATCACAAGCTTCAGTTTCTCTTCATCATTAAATGTTCATTGCTGTAGCATATGGTGCTGTATATATTTGACTTGTTACTTATTGCATTATTATCATTCCTTCACATGATTTCACCTTTCATGTTCATTATGAGCATGTTTTATTCAGACCCTTGGTTGAATTATGAATTAATATCAACATGCTGGCATCCTCTTTGAGAAAAATGGTGCTTTCTTACATGACTGAAAGTGTCTTTTCTGGTCAAAAGCTGCTCAGAATTTTTTTTAGAGTCTTGCTTAGAGGAGATGCACAAAAATTTTATGTCTCACTTAGACATGTTGAGGCATGTCTTTGGTATATGAGGTGCTTGCCTCTTTCCCCGAGGAACAAAGTGGTTGAGGTGTTCACTGCACACCTGACATGGAGCCCATATGTTATAGTACATGATATTGTTTCAGTTTCATTGTCTTGCAGACGTGGCAAGTGTTTTTTTTTTTTTTGATAATTGAAAATGATTTCATTAAACAATAGGAATAAGATTTTACAAGAATCCCTTGGAGAGGCACGAGATGCAGCCTCTCCTAACCGTTACAAAAGATAAGAAAAAATTACAGTTCTGCCCAGAATAAATGGTCCCTAGTAGCCCCCTGTTTAGCAAGATGATCAGCCAAAGCATTTGCCTCCCTACATGTTATGTGCCTTGTTAAACATTTAACTTTTTTATGAGATCCCTATAACTCCAAACAACCGAATCTGGATTTGACAGCCAGCCCACAATCACCTTAGAATCCCCTTCAATCAATAGGTTCTCCACTCCTAGTTGATTAGTAATCTGAATTCCCTGTATGGAAGCCAATATCTCAGCTCTTGTAGAGTCCCCTATCCCTATCGGGCCTGAGAATAAGGATATGATGTTGCCATTTTCATTCCTCAATACTCCTCCAATGCCAGACAGTCCTGGGTTACCCTGGCTGCTTCCGTCAAAATTCAGTTTAAAAAAACCTTCTGGGGGAGTTACCCAAACTATAGTGGCTCTGGTTTTCCTAACCGAAGTGTGTGCAACTGTGGCCCAATTTCTCCAGATGTTATCAAATGAAAAAGAGCTGAAAGAAGCCAAGGATTTCAACCAATGGATAGTCCTGATTAAGATACATTCCTTCACTTCTGTAAGGGACCTCTCTTTGTCTTGGAAAATTCTAGGTTTCTTTCTTCGCAGATTGTCCATAAGGTGGCTGCTTTGAAACATCTCCACATACTCCTTCCTCTTTTTGTTAGGCAAACAAAGGTAGTTGGTGCGAATAATGATTTTACCTCTACTGGGTGATTCCACCTACATCCAAACAAAACAAACATCCATTCCCAAAGAGCTGCAGCAAAGGAACAAGAAACCAGTAAGTGGTAACAGTCCTCACTATGAGAATTGCACAGTACACACCAGTTTGGGGACAAACAAATAAAGGCTTTTTCTTTTATAAGTTCTCCAAAGTGTTTATCTTACCAAGGTACACTTCCCAGCAGAAAACAGCAATTTTGGGTGGCACAGACTTTGTCCAAACTTTTTTCACTGGGAAAGGCTCAAAAGAGGTGCTCAAATAAAGGGATTTGAAGAATGATGCACAAGTGAAAGAACCTTTTGGGATAGGAGTCCACACCCTTTTATCAGGAGAGGAGGGGTCCAAACAAATACTCTCTAGAATGGATGGAAGTTGAGTAACACATGTCAATGATATACTAAAATAAGAGAACATAAGTGTCTAGTAGAGTTGTTTACTAGTTTTGACCTGAAGGGGATATGTTACAATCTACAAGCTTGAAGTTCATAATACTTATTTAACTGAACAAAAAGTGGTTTTGCTACATTCCTGGCCCAACTTAAATTATTAATACTTGGTACGACTTCAAGTGAGAAACATGGATAGGGAGGCTGGATGCAAACTAACTGTCACTTTATCGCCTAATTTATGTTGCATAAGTCTCCTAGTTTTAGATCATCATGAAAATACCTATTATGGTATGATTGGTATCTATACTGCCCCAAATGGATTTTACAAATCTGGAAAAAAATGGATATTACAAATTGAATAAAAACTGAAGTGTTCTTGGAGAATAACACATGGTTTTTGGAAGGATTAGTTTCATAGAAATAGTTATTGTTCTTACTGGTTTTGCATCAGTGTGACAATGGAAATGAATCCTCTTTGGATCAAATGTGGGACTTCAAGTATTTGTCTTATCAATCTTGCATCAAGCATCCAATAAACTCCTTGGAAACCCTTGATGAAGGGAATTAAAGAAAAAGGACAGGGACAGTAGATCAGTTATTTTATGATATATTCTTTTATTTCTTTTCTAGTGGGGATGTGATAATCTTGGAGGCATGAATTTATGGATAGTATTCTTAAAACAGTGAGGTTTGTATATTTGGTCTGAAAGAAATGGGAGTTAATATTGAAAGAGGTAGGGATTCAGAAGATTGTTTCAAGAATCTGTGGTTTGAAGGCTACAACTCTGAATCAAGCAGCTAATCTTGATTATTAGGGCTGAATGTCATCTTGTTCTATACTTGCAATGTGAGAGAAGAAAAATGTCCTTGTATTCGAGATTGTTGATTGAATGGGATGCTCATAAAAAACGAAGGGAATGCTTATAAGTGGTTTTTGTACTTGATATGTCGTACATTTACCATTAAGAATTGCTATATTAGTGTGTTCAGAGACCAAAGACTTCCAATGTTCTAAACCTATATGAAGTTATGAACCAATATTTTTTGCAGAAATCAATAGGAATTCTTTGATGTTTCTGATGCTTGTGCAAAAAGTTAGTGAAAATTATCTTGATTTAAGGGTTCTCTTTTGAGTATTATTCTCCTTTTTCAGACCTTTTACTCGTTATGTAGGGAACAGCGTAGTAGGAACATGCTCATCATGAGTAAAATGCTCCGGAAGCACCACATCCCTAGTTGCATGGCTACCTTTTGGATGCAAAAGACCAGTAAAGAGCATATCAATAGACATTACTCTGGTTGCTTCATCCTAATCTTTTGTAAGGACACCATATTTGTAAATTTGGTTAATCCTGCATGTGCCAATACCCTTGATGCTGATTTCATTGTAAGATATGGAAACAATACATATAATCCACATCAATTTGCTATTACAGTCATCAGGTTTATTTATCTGAATTTTGCTGCTCCATCCATCTAAGACTTAAATGTAATAGTTAGCAACTCTGTAACTGAAATAAATTGAGTTAATGCAACTCTTGGATTTCTTCGCCCTACTAGACAAGGTAGGACCCATGAAAAACATGTATAACCTTGTCTTGTAGTGTTTCTTTTCATGGGACCAGACTAGGTCTCCATAGTTGCAACTACAAACTCTTGTTTACTAAACAAGGGTATATATACATGTCTTACACAAACAGAAAACTCAGAAACTTATACTTTATGACAACGACGCTGATGCAAACTGTTTCATAATTCATACAGTCACAGTGACAACACCCACCAATATTAATAAAACCAGCTCACCTCCCTTGTACACCTTCTTCTCTCTGTACAAGGAAGAGCATTCCTGGTGCTAGATCTTATTTTCTTCTGAATGAAATGTAAAGGACGGACGACTAACTAGTTTGGCATTTTGCTGCAACCGCGGTTGTAAGGATTGACATTGACCTGACCTCCTGCTGGGCAATTACTGTAGTAGGATGTACCGCGTCGTGAGCAGGGTCGCTGTTGCTAAAATGCGCCGGTTGCTTTCAGAGTCCATTTCGAATTCGTTGCCACTTGCCACCCACCCACACCCAGGCACTGAGCGGTTGTGCCTTGGCAGCTGGGTCGCTGTGGAAGCCAATCTAGTTACTATAAACCCCACTAGCTAGCTTCAACGCTGATTATCAGAGCACTGATAATCAAGGTGGCGACTACCATGCAAAGCCCAGAGGAGTTTGCCATTGTTGTCTACTCCAAGCTTCTCCGCATATCTCTGTGATCTCTTGAACTTGTGCAGAGAAGAGGGAAGGGTGGTCTGGGTTATAAAGACATTTGGGTTTGGGATTTGACATTGGTTTAGTACAACATTTGCACACTTGCCACTTGACTTGGTTATGGTGTAAAGTGTAAACTCTGGAATGAGTCTTTCAAGTTTCAACCACTGTTATTAATCTCCTTTTGCTTGTTCTAACAAAGTGGGGCGAACAATAAAAAATTAAAGAAATGGGGTTTACAGATGCTCTATAAGGCTGCAAACAGTACCTGATTGCCCGAAATTGAATTTAATTTAATCCCATTAAGGGTGATTCAAATTTGATTCGTTTTATAATTGGATAAAATATGTTTTTATATACTTAAAATTTACATTGTATCTATCAGTAAAGTTGATTAAAATGTTGTGTTTTCATATGTTCAAGTTTTATATAACTAACTTTCAATTAGTTTTGTCCAAAAATATAGTTTCAAGGTCCTTTTCGTTCATTTTATTAATATTATATAATATTTTGATCATTTTTAGTTAAATTTGTTTATACAGTCTAATACTCGATTGCAATCCAAAATCAATTAGAATGTGACATAAATCTATTGGCTAAGATCTGATTCGAACTTGAATATAAGTAAATCAAATTTGGATCTCCCTATATCTGATCCACTTGGATTAATTTGCAGCTATATTCAATGATTTGTCAACTCGATTCTATGCAGTTTCATATTTGGCTGTTGTTGGGTCAATTCTTGGAACGAGGATGATGATAAGTTCAATTTCATACTATAACATATAACATAAACTTATCAATGACCTAAATCACATATTATTAGTTTTGTTTAGTATAGATTGGTTAAATTTGATATTCAATTATATTTGTGGAAGAAGAGCTAAGAGGAGTTTGAAATACTACTGATGTTGTTAAAACACCAGATTATTTGGTAGGATTAGGTTTGATTTATGTGATTAAACCAAATAGTAGTTTTGCTTTTGCGAATTGCAATTACATTAGAGGACAGAAGGTAATACTTGCACTGTTGGTAGTGGTCCAAAGCTAGGAGGACTTGTAATTAATATAACTTCACTTAATATTGATTAATAATATATTTATAACGAATATGGAAGAAAAGGGCACCAATTTCCATCCAAATCCATTCCCTCAAAAATTAGCTCGAGAAAATGCTACTTTGCCCTTGATGGATCCATGTGGGGATCATGTTCGTAGCTTTTTTGTGTCATGTCATGTGCCTCACTCATCTCATCATGTCTGTAGGGAGAAGAACCCAAGAGTTGCACAAATTCGTTGTTTAGGGGAGTTGTGGAAAGTTGTCGATAGATGACAAACAACACAAAGTATCTCCTATACTAGCGGGGATCCATGCGATGCACCTCAAGGGAAAGTGAAACAACCATTATAAGGAATCCAATGTTATTTAAAATAACTAATATTTATTTTAGTAATTTGTTATAAAAATAATTTAGTAATTTAGATTGATTATATTAATAATTTTTAATAAAAATAATAAATTACTGCTAATTACTTAATAAAATAATTACTTTTTTCCATAATATCTGTTAGTGTGTTGTTTTTTTTATTTTACCTTATTAATGATTAAATGTTACATTTTTTGTAAATATTACCTAAATGTTAGTAAATATATAAAATTAGGTTGTAGTCGTAATTAAATTAATTTATAGATTAACTTTCTTAGTGATAATTAAATAAATTTAAGCCCAAGCTCGAGGTTTCAAGATAAAACTTGCTAAAATTTAATACTTTTTATTAACTTTAGTAATTTATTTTAGTTATTGGGTTTCAAATTATAATTTTAGGATAACTAACCAGTTAAATAGAATTTGAATAGTGTATTAACAGTAATTAGGTTTCAAAATAACCAATTAATTTTTGATAATGTACCAGTAGTTTTTAAGGTTGCCTTGCCCAACTTGGCCCACACCCTAGGCGTAAAGTCTTTTATCCATATATTAATATAAAATTTGTTATCTAAATATATGTATATAACTTCTAGCTCGAGCTTAAGGGTTGCTTAGCTTGGGCCATGATTGTGACTGCTATCAATGGACTTTGAAAGCCCAATACCCAATTTGACTATGAATCCAATTATCTTGGATTTGGATGTCAGAACTTGCATTCAAGTAATAATCAAATCAGATGTGGATTTAACCCCATCGATTTGACCAAAAATCTAAGTCTAATAAAAAATTATTATTTTATGTATATATTTAGTATAATTATGTATACATACAAGTATTATGTATAATTATATAAAGTTTATAATCAAGAAAGTTAATATTTTATATTTATACACATTTATTATATATACTTTAAAAATAATTAATTTTTTAAAACTTCTTTAATTGTTTGGACATTTTAAACACAATAAGATGGTTGTAGATTAAATCTGAATCTAATCCAAAATCCAACATAATAGTCAGATGCAGATGCAGATCTAGAGATATCGTAATCAAATGCGGATGTGGATCCAGAGATTTCATAATCAAATGTAGATGTAGAAGCAAATGCAACTAGATCTGATCCATTTATAGCCTTGTTGCTCACATTATGTGTAGGCTTGGTGCATATCTGGGCTAAACCCAACTTGGAAAAAGAATAATTGATCGAGCCCAAAAATTTGTAGGTTTAGCCAAATTGGGCTAAGTTATAAAAGATCATCCCTAAGTAGGAGTCTCACATTTCTAATTGGGCCATTATTAGTTCTATTATTTTAATTAATTTTGATAACTTTTATAGGAAATGCAATTGGTTTATTTTATTTTTTTTAATAAAATTTGTACTTTTTATTATTATTTTTAAATCCTATTAATATTAATTTTTAAATAGAATTCAAATATATTTTAGTTTTTAATTTATGAACTACCAATTTTATTAATTTCTTAAATTTTAATAGTTGCTAGATAAAAATTTGCTATTATTAACTTTAGTAATTTTTTATTAATTTTAGTTATTAGGTTTCAAATTATAAATTTCTAACAATTAACCAATTAAATAGAAATTGAATATGAAACAAATAAATGGAATTTGGATGAGAGTAAAATCCTATCTCTTTGAAATACAATAGGTTAATAATGGAAGAGGCCTATAAAAATATTCTAAAATAGGTAAATGATGGAAGGGGTGGGACCTATGTCTTTGTATTCTCTCTCTCTCTCTCTCTCTAACACACACACATTATTTTTAGGTGGTTTAACTATTTATTATATTTTATTAACTAAATTTTAAACTATTATTTGTTTATAGTCTAGACTTAGCCCACACCAGCCTTATAATTTGTGGGCCTGATATGGGCTTGGGCTTGGGCCAGATTGAAAGGATCACCCCTAAGCAAATTGCTTTTGGTTTATTAGACTAATGAGGTTAGGAGGAGAGAATAAAATTAAAAAAAAAAGGAAAAAGATCAAATGGATTTTAAGCAATTTATTGGAGTAATTGAGAGGAGAGAGAATTAATGAAGTAGGTTATTCGAGGAGAAAAAGTCAATGAAATAATTAATGAGGAGAGATAATCAAAGGAGTTAATGAGAAAGAAAAGAAAGAGTTAATAGTGAGTTAATGAAGAGAGATGAAATTCTTAAAGACTTAAAAGCACTATGCAGTATTCTAAACCTTGTATTTGCATGGTACATATTTTAATTTTTACTCCCAAATCAAGCCTTTGAGATCAAGGCGGTGTTCGGCCACGGGATGAACACCCGTTCTGCTAGCTATGGACGGGACCGGTCCACGCTCTCGTCCACACCCCAATTTCTTATCCACGGCAAAAACTCGTGATTAGGGCCCATCCACACTCTATTTTTGATCCCCTGCTTCACACTCTTCCTAAAAGGCTAAAACCCTATTGTCTATTTCACATTTTAATATTTTTGTCAATAAAATATTAATTATTTTACTTAATTTTTTAAAATCTTAATGTTTTTATCAATAAAATAATATTTTTAAATATTTTAAATATTTTTTTTAATTTTTTATTGTTTTACTATTGTTTTTATAAAAAATTAATATTTATTAGTTAATATTAATTCATTGATGTAGTTTTCAATATATTTATCATATAAAATGCAAAAATTAGATATTTATGATTAACTGTGTAGATCAAGGTTTTCGAACCATCGTTGATCCGGACGGTCGGACCGTTCGACCCAATAACTGTCCAAGCAAGCGGTTCCATTTTACCCCAAACCCGGTTTTTGGCCAAAAACCATTGAAAAAGACAACAACCTGTTGACCCGAGCAGTCGAACCG